AAAAAAAAAAAAAGAAGAAGAAGAAGAAAAAATCAGCTGGCTGTATGCTTTGGTGTTTATTTCTGGAGTCTCTATTCTGTTCCATTGGTCCACTTGTCTGTTTTTATGCCAATACCATGCTGTTTTGATTATCACAGCTTTGTAATATATATTGGGGTCAGGGAGTAAGATGCCTCCTACTCCACTCTTCTTGTACACGATTGCTTTGGCAATACAGGATCTTTTATGACTCCAGAGAAATCTTTTCTAAATCTGTGAAGAATTGTCTCTGGTAATTTGATTGGGGTTACATTAAGTATGTAGATTAATTCTTGTAGAATTGCCATTTTGATTATATTAATTCTTCTGATTCAGGAACATGGGATGTCTTTCCACTTTTCTGTGCCATTTTCAATTTCTTTTTTTATATCTTCAGTTTCCCTTGTAGAGGTCTTTGACTTCTTTGGTTACATTTACTCCTAGGTATCTTATACTTTTTATGGCTATGGTAAATGGGATTACTTTCTTCTGTCTGTTGGTTGTATATAGAAATGCAATAGATTTTTGTAAGTTGCTTTAGTATCCTGCCACTTTATGATATTTATTTATTACTTTCCTTCCTGGAGTTTTTTTCATAGATATCCTTGGGTCTTCTATGTATACAATCATATCATCTGCAAATAGAGATAATTTCACCTCTTCTTCCCCTATTTGAATGATTTTTATTTTATTCTCTTTTCTGATTGCATTGGCTAGGACTTACAGCACTATATCAAAAAGGAATGCAGAAAGTGAGCGGCTTTGTCTTGTACCAGTTTTTAGTGGAAAAGTTTTCAGCTTTTCCCCATTTAGTATGATGTTAGCTCTAGGTTCTTAAAGATAGCTTTTATTGTGTTGAGAAATTATCCTTCTATGCTGACTTTGATGAAAGTCTTGATCATGAAGTGGTGTTGTATTTTATCAAATGCCTTTTCTGCACTGATTGATATGATCATATAGTTTTTATCTTTCTGTTAATAGTGTATTACATTTATGGTTTTGTGTATGTTGACCACTCTTGCATTGCTGGAATAAAGCCTACTGGTCATGATGTATAATCTTTTTTATATGTTATTGGATATGATTTGCTAGTATCTTGTTCAGCATTTTGGCATATATATATATTCATCAGAGACATTGGTCTGTAGTTTTTCTTGTCATGTCCTTGTCTGTTTTGGGAATGAGGGTGAAGAAGGCTTCATAAAATGAATTTGGGAGAGTTCCTTCCTTCTGGATCTTTAAAAATAACTTAGTGGAATGAGGGTCAACTCTTAAAGTTTTATAGAATTCAGAAGTGAAGCCATCAGGACCAGGGCTTTTCTTCAATCTCATGGCTTATTATGGGTCTATTCAGGCTTTCTATGTCCTCCTGAGTCAATCTTGGTAGATTATCTGTGTCCAGGAATTTGTCCATCTCATCTAGGTTTTCTTGTTTGTTGACATATGGTTGCTCATAATATCCTCTAATGATGTTTTGTATTTCTGTCTGTTGTAATATTGCCTGTTTCATTGCAAATTTGATTTATCTGGTTCCTTGCTTTCTTCTTAATTAGTCTAGCTAATGGTGTGTCAATTTTGTTTATCTTCTCAAAGAACCAGCTTTTTCATTCATTTGTTTTCTGCATAGTTTGTTTATTTTCTGTTTCATTTATTTCTGCTTGAATATTTATTATTTCTTTTTCCTGGACTTTTTTGTTTTGAGATTTTGTTGTTATTATTGTTATTTTCCAATTCTCTGAGGCATGATGTTAGGTTGCCCATTTCATATCTATCCATCTTTATCTTATGCACACTAATGGCTTTGAACTCCCTTCTTATGACTGCTTTTTCTGTGTCTTATAGATTATGGAAACTCATGTACTCATATTGGTTTCCACAAATCTCTTTATTTTAGCTTTAATTTCTTCAGTAGTTGTGAAGTTGTTCAGGAGTAGGCTGTTTAGTTTTCATATGTTAGTGTATTTTCATGAGTTTAAACTAATATTGAATTTAATTCCATCATGCTTAGAGAAATTGCTGGATATAGTTTCTAGGCCTCTGAATAGATAAAGGCTTATTTTGTGGTCAGTCTTCAAAAAGGTCCCATGTGGAGGTAAGGAAAATGTATATTTCATGGTTGTTGGGTAGAAGATTCTATATATATCTGTCAAGTCCATTTGATTTATAGTATCATTTAGATCCTGTATCTCTTTCCTTATTTATTTATTTATTTTTTTGCC